CGGTGCCCCGAGAGGCAGGTGAGGGGCTGCGGAGCACCCGCAGCACAGCTCTGGTGGCAGGCCCTGAAGCTAAGCAGGGCCGGGCGGGATCAGAGGTGGGATGGGATACCTGGGCGTTCCCAGAGGTGCGACAGGAAGCGGAGCGGTGACGCGGGGGTGTTTCTGCCTGAGTCAGCCTCCGCCGATCCCACGGGGTGGAACGGAACCAGGCACTGTGGGGCTCCAACTCGGCCGCACCTCCCGTGCGGTGATGCCCCTGGAAGGCACTGTGGCTATATCCCTTTTTTTGGGTGGCGAGGCGCCTGCAGATCTCTCCTGGGGCGGCGAGGCAGCGGTTTCGGCACCTCCCGGCCAAGGTCGTGGTGGGTGGTTGGCTTCGTCATCGCGAGCTGTGCCGGAGGAACCGGCTCTCCTCTTCCTGCCCGCCCTGCGAGCGTCGCCCCACCCCACCCCAGACGTGGATGCATCGCGCTGCCAGCAGCTGCCCTCCGCTCTGCTTTCCACATCGTTTTGTGGCTCACCCTTCGGCCAGGTACCGTCTGGATGAAAGCAAAGCCGCCCAGCGCCTGAGCATCCTGTGCGGCTGCTACCTGTGGGGAAACCACCCGGAGCTGCCCTTCGAACATCGCTGGAGCTTGTGGGAGGCAGACGGTGCTCTGTGTGGTCAAAGGCATCCTGGGAACCCCGGGGTTGCTCTAACGCCATCCCTTAACGTGAGGTTGGACAGATCTGCTTGGACGGGGGAAGTTTTTGCTCTGAGCTCTTGCTCAGTGCTGGGCGTTGCATTTTCCTCCTCTTGCTGAGCTCTCCGGAGGAAGCCGAGCTGGTGCAAAGCGACGTGCGGCTCCAGCTCCATCCTGGTGCGGTAACGTTCCCCTGGACCTGCCTCCCGCAGGCATCCTGGTGCAGTAACGTTCCCCTGGACCTGCCTCCCGCAGCGGCATCGAGCGGGTTTATTTTAAACCTCGCTTCAGCAGGGCCATTCCAATGCAGGTGTGATGGGTTTATTTCAGACACTTTGTGCACTAATTCATATCCCTTTTATTTAGGCTTGTACCTCTCTGGGCATTTGCTTGGTTTTAGCAGTGGCTTGTTTTGGTTTGGCTTTAAAAAGCACTGCTGTGTGTTCATCTGTTGGTGGGTGGGACTGGGCTGCCCACGCTGGCTGGCTCTAACTCATACCTTTCAGCTATTTAGGTTTCAATATCTGAAATTGGATGCTTCTGCTGAAATAAATATAGCCCACCGGTGCTTTTTTATGATGCCGGTAAAGAAATGACTGTGCTCTATGTTAAGGGCATGTATTTCAGGTGCTCGGTGCTTTATATACGGTCAGTTGAACCAAAATTGGAGTGGTTGAGGGCAAAATAATGTCTGCTGAGGGGTGTGAGCCAGGCTGAAGTAGGGCAGGGCTTCAGGCCTGTAACATTGGGTTAAGGCTGCTCGCTGCTGACCCTGGTGATGGTGTCCCCTGTTTGGGTTTCACGGTTACTTCATCCCCGGTGTGGCGCTCGGACTTGCCTGCTGCCTGGGGGCTATGTGGGGCTGGACGCTGCTGGGGTGCAGCGGGGTACTCGGAGTGGCGTGGGGTGGTCCTGCTGGGAAGGCTGCAGTGCTGCGGCTTGTGCTGGGGAGAGATTTTGCTCGTGGGGCTTTGCTGGGTTGAGCGCTTGGCCGTGCCCAGGGGCTGTGCTGGGGCACGGAGGAGGGCCGAGCCCTGCAAGCAGCTCGGCTGCCCGTAACGTCGCCGCTGAGGGCTCCTCAGGGTGCTGCCTTGGCGTGGCGGTGCCAAGCATTGGGGATGCCGCGTCCTGCCTTCGCTGTCATCCTCCTCCTTGTTCCTGGGTGGTGGAGGCTACTCGCAGTATCTTCTCAAGCACCAGAGCGGGTTGCCCAGGGCTCACCGCGAGTGCCTCTCGTGGGAGTTTGGGGACCCTCCTTCCCTGTTGCAGTGACCCCTTTGAAGGCACTTCCCGGCTCTCTGGTGGGTCATCTTTAGTTACTTATTCGCAATTTTGCTTTCCCTCCTGTAAAACAGAAGAGAAATTTGGGAAAGGCCGTTGCAAGCCGCCCTGCCCAGGCCACGTGGGTGGACACGGCTGCATCCCGGCCCGGGGGGGAGGGGTGGGAGCCCCCGCTCCA